CAAAAATCACTCACATACAAGAGATAATGAGAACATATATAAATATATCAAGATGAACATATTGTCTCATATCATAAAAGCCAATGTATAAAATAGATTTATGAAGGCCAACAACGTTGTTTGTCTACAATAAATAAGAAAACACAAATACTAGACAAACAACATTAGTGGTAAATTGTTTGTTAAACATCATCAAAACAAGAAGGCCAACAGTGACGCGGTTTTTTTTAGGGGTTAGAAAACATTAGGGGCTGATATATATGCCTCTATTTAGTCTAAATTACTTAATTTGGCACCTCTATTATTTTCAATTCCCGCTAAACTTGTAGGGGTATTATGAACCGCCCCAAATAATAATAATAGGCACATATTCAACATCTGCATCTAATTCATAATTAATAGGGGCAAATCACTATTTCTACCACTAATAGATCGCCCCAAATGCTCACTTTTTTATAGTGCTTGTTTGAAAGTTTTAGGAAGATGAAAGCTTTGAAGCTTTGAAGAGGAAGGGGTTAAAGACTTTGAAGGAGAAGAGGATGGAGTTCTTAGGGAGGGAGAACTCAAAACAGCAAAAAAAAAAAGAAAGAGGGGGGGGGACTTCTGTGTTGAAACCGAACAGGAAAAGAAAAAGAAGAGGAGAGAGTGTTGATCTTTTGAAGGGGTTTTAAATGGGTTTGAACCGGTCTGAACCGAACCAGCCTAAACCAAGCCGAATCGATCTGACCTGACCCAGACCAAGTTGAACCGAACCAGGGCAAACTTCATTTGTTGGTTCGCACGCGTACAGGCCGCGAAATGCTGACTCGCACACATGTAAGCCATGAAATGCCAGTTCGCACGTGTCGAAGGATCCAGGGATACTTCGCATACATTTTAAACTATTTTCAGATATTTTTTTGGCATATTCGTATCCCGTATTAATAGTCCATTGGGTATACGAGTCTAAACTGTTTCCAACACTTGACGAGAAGTTCCTGGAAGATATTATGTGTAATATTCTTAAGGATAACCCGGCAATCTCCGACGGGTATACGAGGATAAACTGATTCCCGAAACTCCCAGGAGTATATGAGTATAAACTGGTTCTCCTCAGGTCAACGCATAGCCCCAGGTCAACGCCAGTCAACGTGTTACGATGAGAGTCAATGCCGATTAATGTGATACCCTAGGGTCAACGCCAGTTAACGCGTTGTGATGAGAGTCAACGCCAATCGGTACGAAACCCTAAGGTCAAAGCCGGTCAACGTGTAGCCCTAGGTTAACACTAGGCAACACGTTGTGATACCGATAATCAGTGCAAAGTCAACTCAACAAGACGAGCCAAAATTAACTCACCAAATCCGATTCAATATTTCAACAACGGTCAGACGATAAACGCAGCATCGGAAGAATTTTAACTGTTCGACAAAATACTAAAAAGATTGAAATGTGGAGAAGTCAAGAACTAAAATTGGTTATAGGTCTCTTAACACCGACTGAAGGTGTGGGCCTATCACGTCCAAAGTATCTCAGACTCCTCTCTAAGGGAATGAGGCTGAAACACTTTGGAGGGGATATCTGTAGGCGTCTAAAAATGTCTGTAGGTTCCTGTAAACGGCTCAAGATGAAGAGGAGGTGATGAATGTCATCATCCAGGTCGAGAAGGTTCACCCGAGTGGCCCGCGTATTCATCGGCCACCGTCAAGTGGCCCGTACGCTCAATGGTCACCGGAACGACGGACCAAACATCCTGTGCGCTCACCGACAATTCCGCATAGTCACCACCCAGTTCCAAGCATCCCACGTACTCACCAGTCACCGTCAAGCAATCCGCACGTTCGCGAAATGCGCGAAGCCAATCAAGGAAGCGTACCGGTCAGCGAAACAATGAAATACACATAAACGACGGAACGAGTCAAACCCGAGAAAATCAAGAAAGCCTCTAGCGGCCGGATCGCGTCAAAACGATCCGGTCGGGCCAGTGGCTCACCATTTGGTGGCTCGGTCAAGGCCGAGCCACTAGGTGACAGTTCGGCCAGAATCAGTTTTGTTTCGTTTTTTTTATGGATTCGTTTGGGATTTGTGCATTCCTGGACATTTCAACTGATCTGATACTATGGTTATACAGTTGTTAACTGAAGATAAAGAGAAATTCATCTTTCTCATCCAAATAACCACATCCGAGGCCTATAAATATGAGCCAAAAGTCTTTATTTTATTGATCTGGAAAATCAATAGGACGAAGTGCTGTCAAATTGGAGATTGGAGCACGAATTTCAGAGAGTTAACAGATCGTGGCAGAGTTCTTCAACAAAGTGAGAGTTCGAGAGATCTGAGACTCATTCCTTATTCCTCCGGATTTAAGCTTAGTCTTAAATCTCGAGAAGAGCCGTGATTTTGCTTAGTCAAAATCATCGCTACTGCAATTACTTTATTCATGAAGTGAAAGCATTGATTATCTAACTTCTGCTAACCGGATATGATCCGTAGGCGGTCCACGGATAAACCCCGGCACCGGCAACGATCCTGCGCAAGCAATAGGCGATAAACATCTATTGCGTGTAGTTTGAGAGAAAATTATAATTTTTGATTTAAAGTCTTATAAAAAGGCTATCCTTTTTTTGAGTTTATTGTAAGCGTTCAAAGTTGTAATGGACTCATCAAAGAAATCAATTTTTCGATCAAACACGCAGTTTTCTCTATGTCTAAAGACAAAGCTCCAAGGCCCGATGGTTATAGTGTGTCTTTCTTCAAAACTGCATGGCCTATAATAGGTGAGGAGGTCACATTAGCCATTGAGGACTTCTTCAGAACTGGTAAGCTGTTGGGTATTGCTAATTCCACTTCAATCACTCTAATACAAAAGGTACAATGCCCTAAATCCCCCCTCAGACTTCAGGCCTATCTCCTGCTGCAATTGTATTTACAAATTTATATCAAAAATACTTTCAAATAGAATTAAGTCTGTAATGGGATATCTTGTGAATGCGGCTCATAGTGCTTTTGTGAAAGGGGGACAGATTTCAAGCAATATTATACTAGCTCATGAACTGGTAAAAAGTTACAACAGGAAGCATATATCTCCAAGGTCATGCTCAATATTGACATTAGGAAAGCTTTTGACACTGTTAGTTAGAGTTTTATCAAATATATGCTCATGGGTTTGGGGGTTTCAAATGTTATGGCAAACTGGATAATGGCTTGCATTTCCTCTCCAAATTATTCAATTTCTCTTAATGGTGCACTTCATGGATACTTCAAAAGGGAGCGTGGCTTGAGGCAGGGGGATCCTCTCTCTCCCTACCATTTTATCTTGGGTATATATGGAATATCTTTCAAGGTGTATGGCAATCTGAAAATTTCATCCAAAATGTAGCAATCTAAAAATCACTCATCTGATATTTACGGATGACTTACTGTTATTTGCTAAAGGTGATACATATTCTGTGCATAAGATATTTCAGTGTGTCAATCCTTTTAGTGCAGTATCATGTTTAGAGGTCAATCCTGATAAATGTTCCATCTTCTACAGGGGAGTGGAAGAATCAGTTAAATCATCCATAACCAATATCTTGCGATTCTCAGAGGGGTCTATGCCAATTAAATACCTTGGAGTTCCTCTTATCTCCAAAAGGTTATCTTACATGGATTGCAATCCTCTGTTTGAGAAAATCTCAAGGCAATTACATAGCTGGACAAGACACAAAAATTTGTCATATGCTGGCAGGTTACAAGTTATTAAAAGTGTAATTCTCGGTGTGCAGATTTATTGGACATCAAACTACATTCTACTTGTCAGTGTTCTTCATAAAATAGATGAGGTGTGCAGGAAATTTCTGTGGGGTAAAACTAATCATTCATTCAGGAATTCTCATGTTTCATGGGGAGAAAGTGTGCTTAGGGAAGAAACAGGGTGGCTTGGGAGTTTTTTCAGGTCATACCTAGAACGTTGCATCTGCACTAAGAAGCATCTGGTTCATACATATCAATAAAGAGTCATTGTGGATAATAAAAAGTCATTGTGGATCAAATGGATTCATGGCAATTATCTTAGCATAGAGATATTTGGCAGGTAAATGCAAAATCAGGAGATTCTTGGATGTGGAAGTAATTAATTAAAGTAAGAGATAAGGCATTGGCTGAATGTGGAGGAGCTGACAATTTGAAAAACCTCATCAGGTCTTGTCATATGAATTCAAAAATAAAGCTTTCAGCCTTGTATGATGTCTGGTATAATACTGTTTGGGGAAGCTTAAATGTCCCTAAGTATTCATTTATCAACTGGTTGGCAATTCAGGATAGACTTCTTACGCAAGATAGGCTGCTGAAGAGAGGAATAATCAATGTAAACCTCTGTATCATGGATTGGCTGGAGTTCAGGTGGAAGTCATATAATTGGTGTCAGCTAATGAATTTTGGTACACAAGATTGAGAGGCAAAGGTTTCAAGCAAAAGCTCGAGAGATTGTCTTTGACGGCCTCAATTTACAACATTTGTCGAGAGCATAATGCTAGGCTTTTCACATAGAAAATAAGCAATGCAGATCACCTAACTAAAGCTATAAAAATTGATATTTCAACCATTATTCTCAATAGCCCCCTATCTCCTAATAGGGATTGCTTTCCCTTGATGCCTTGAGATTTTGGTTGTGCAGTTTCCTGTAAATGATTTTGTTATCTCAGTAGCTTTGCGCTGAGCATCTTGAATGAATAAAGTTTTTCGTTGACCAAAAAAAGGGTAATACCCATTTATGCGTAACTATTTGGGCGTTTTTTCCTTTTTCTTTTTCTTTTTGACTTTTTGGACCCAGACAGTTTAAACTATTTGGATTAATCATATCACAATTGGTTTAACCCGTTTAGGCTTTTCGCGATTGCCCAATATGGGAACCGTTTGGGCAAACCAATTTTGTACTAGTGGAAGAGAACCCAAGATACCATTGAATCTACACAAGGGCGTACAAAACAGATGATTCAAGAAGAGCATGGCATTTTGATTAAGAAGGGGCAATCCTGATATACATCAACACAAAGGAGCTTATGTATAGCCAGTACTTAAGAAAAAACAAGTCCAATTGAGTAGAAACAATTGGAAACATCATCAACACAAGCGCCGAAGCTTGTTAGTTAAATAGGGAGCCATACTTCTGTAGCATTTCGGTCACCAAAATCTGGTAGGCTCTCTCTGTAGGGTGATAACTATCCCAAAATAAATACTTGGAAACATCATCGCATACATCTGTAGTCAATTTATTACATGTTAATGTGACCTCGAAAGTTCCAGTTCCGCAACAACCCAACGTTGATACCTCGAAACCTTGGAATGAAAGAATTATGAATAAGAGCCACCAAATTGTATGAGATGGTTAATGATTGAGTTGCTACTGAATATCTTACCATAGGCAGATGGATTCGAGATCATATCAAGCAAAGGTGTGTAGATATCTATATAGACTATCCTTGATCCGGGTAATTTGCTGTTAAGCCTTTGTATCTCTAAGGATAGCTCTCTGTTAAGCATCATGGAGGCTTCATTATACAGAGGCACACTGTCCCTTTTTATACCTCCTGCACTTGTTCTTTTTGATGGTAACGATCCTATAGGAGGAATTCCTATGACTCCAATTTTCCGAGCACCTGATTCATAAAGCTCCTGAAAGGATAGGAAGGATATTAAAATTTTGATTTTTTCTGATATTAGTTCCCCAAATCTTTCACATTTTGAAATTACTCCCCCGAGTCTTGTTATTTTGAAATCTGTGCTGGAAATCCTTGAGCATTTATAAATTAGTCCCCAACTCTTTCAAGTATTTCGAAATTAGTTTTTTAGATCTTTTAAATATTACGAAATCAGTCGCCCAAATATGGATGTGTTTGGTAATCAATGTGTTTTTTTGTTGTGTTTTTGTAAAAAGCACCATGTCATGGTGTTTCTTTTTCAAATGTGTTTTGAAAACACCATTTTGGTCACACTAATTTGACCATTTATATAGTGGCAGTTTGGCTAGCCTGGCGCGGCGCGGGTGGCGTGTGGCCGGCGGCCAGCCGAACGGCGGCGGCCAACGACGGACTGTCGGCTATCGACGAGGGTAGCGGCGATGGCCGGCAGCCGCCGACGGAGGGCGGCGGCGGGTGGTCGGCCGACGGGCGGTGGCGTGGTGGAGGATGGCCAAATCGGCGGCGGCGGCCGGTGGGTGGCCGACGGGTGGAGAGTGGCCGTGGGCGACGACGGCAGGCTGGCAGGCGGGGGCGGTAGCGGCGGCGACAGCGACGAGTTGGCCGTGGCTGGTCGACGGCGGTGCGGCGGCGGGGCAATTGGTGGCCGGCGGGCGACGGCCGACAGGCGGCCGGCGGTGGCGGCGATGCGCGCGGGTGAAGTGTGGCTGGTGAGCGGCGGCGGGCCAGTGAGCGGCGGGGTAGCGGTGGGGTGACCACTACGGGCAGCGAGCAGGCCACGGCCGCCAACGAGGAGAGAGCGGCAGTGGCCGACAACGGCGGGGGGTGACGGCGGGCCCATGAGCGGCGGGGCACTGGCCGGTGGCTGGCCAACGGCGGGGCGGTGGCGTCGGGCCGGCAGCCGGCGGGCGAGCGGGCTGCGACCGGCTGTATTGAAAAAACGGAATTTTAAAACGTATTTTTGGTGTTTTGAGAAAAGTGTTTAATTTTTAGATTTTATAAAGGGGCAAGTCAAAAAAACGTCCCGGTTACCAAATGCGTTTCTTTGTTTTTGTTGAAAAAAATAAAAACGGCAAAAACGTTACGGTTGTCAAACGCTCTTTTAACTAGTTGCTAACTAGAAGGACTAATTTCAAAGCATATAAAAGATTTTGGGGGACTAATCTCAAAATATCAAGATTTTGGGGGCTAATTTCAGAATATGAAGGATTTGGGGCGTTAATATCGTAAAAAGAAAAACCCAAAATTTTTATGAAAAGCTACCTTGTGGAGTCTGAAACACAAACTAAATGGATAGATGTACCTGATAAAAGCTGGAAGCTTGTTGTACCACAAATTTGATGTAAGAAGGAAGATCATACTCCAATTTTCGAAGTTGCATGGTAAAATAAGTGGTTGATAAGTCATTAGTTCCCAAGACAACGAGATATATACTCTTCGTGATGATGTCTGCTGCTCTTTCTTCTCCTGCAATGATCTTCAGCTTCTCCTTGTATTCTTTGAATAGGTTTAGTTGATCAGTCGCACTTAAAACTGACTGCATGCAACAACAAATATCCAACTGAGGATTTTATGAAATCTCGGAAAATAAGTTTCTATGGTTTATGAGGGTTAGGAGTTTCACCACTAAACGGGCAGTTTGGGGATCATATCCAGAGCCGCCAGATGCGAAGTTTACACCAGTGAGGAGGTCCTCGCGACTCAATTTCGTCCCGAGATATGCTGGTAAGTACTCCTTTATCCCCAGTTGAGATGCTGGAATTTTAGTACGCTGTGTCAGTGAAATTCAAATTCTTGAATCGTGCCCCTTATCGAACGTTTCTACATTACACGTTATATATATAAAGTGGCTGGACCTACTGAGAGGTTAGCATGTTATCGAGAGGGCTTATCAAAACTGGTTGTTAGCTCCTTTCAGATTTGTACTGTACCAGCTTATGATTTGATCCCAATTACATGATCTCCAAGAGTAATCAGACCATTCCATGATTTCATTCCAAATGTGAGCTGAAAACTGGCATTCAAAAAACAGGTGCTTACTTGTTTCTTGTTGCACCTTGTAGTTATGATTACGTTGTTGTTGCCTGGATCCACAACTGAGTCTCCAAACACTATGAGGGCTGGCACCTTAGGGCTAGTCTCATTGGTAGCTAGGGTTAGGGTTTGATGGATTTGGAGGAGGAGGAGAAGCAGGAGGGGAGAGAGCACGGTTGTTGATTTTGATCTCAGCCGCTTCCCGCTGCTCCCCATAATTTCTGACTTGCTAGTTTCTAGATGCTTATCCCTCGACATACGTACGTACTGCTTGCTATTGTGTTATGTAGTTGGAATGGATGATTGGTGCTGAGTCAAACGTTCTGAAATCTTAAATTATAAAAAGAGAAGGAAGAATAAACTTCCTGTCCTTGATTAGCTGTTTAATTTGGGGGGAATTAACACTCAACGATTAGGCATGATCCAGTAGAAGGGAACGTGAGGTGAGGTGAGGTGATAAGATCGAAAATCATTGTTTGAAGTAAAGATTATAGCTTTAAGTTGAGTTTAATATAGCGTGTGCGGTGTGCAAGCTACTTATGCCACAAGCGTGCTTATTTTCCTCTAGTAACCGCAATGCCCCTGTTCTTTCTACATGCACCCACTCTCCCCTTTCTTCACATCAAATCCAAACGGCAATGACCAATTGTTTCCCATAATCAACCAGTCAAAGTCTGAGGTAATCTCTTGGGTTCGAATCCTCTCCACTACCAATAGGTAGTGGGCAGATCACTACATCGATCTCCTTTGTCTATTATTTAGTGGATGTTTGTGATTATTCTGCTTGAGTGCAAAATAAGAATGAGTAAATTTATAGAGCATGATAAATGCTAAATTTAGAATTAGTAATAATCATCTACTAAGATAATTAATGGTTGTGATTAAAAATAATGGTCTTAACATTGAAGAGATCTAAATCCAATCTCCTGATACAACGGTCCTGTTAGAACATTGTTCGGAGTGTAACGTTGCTCGTGCAATGTCTCTTGTTTGATAAATAACAAACTCCCATTTGCTACTGATATGTTTCTGAGATGATATATTTTAGATATAAACAGGTACAAAAATTTGCGGTTCAGATCAACACGAATGTTGATTCCAGCCTTTGAACATCGATGGTCATGAGGCACTATCGATGGTCGAGTCAAGTCTTCGATGGACTACAGGAAACAATCAGAGAAACAAGAATTAGAAATCAAACCATCGATGGTCCACAATCAATCATCATTGGTCGTATGGACCATCGATGGACTACAATCAACAATCACAAAAATTAAAAAAATAGAATTTGCACAATAGATGGACTACAGTCAACCAGTGGATCATCGATGATCGTGATAAACCATCGATGGTCGCGATGAGTTTTGGCAGATTTTCAGGTTTAATCTCAACCGTTCGTCGACCCTTTTGATCTCCAACTTCTACCAAGTCTAGAATATCTCTTTCCTGATCTGTTGTAGGTTCTATATAAGAAAGAGAGAGAAAGAAGAGACCATTGATTGGAGGTGATCTAGGGTTTGAATTTTGAGAACAAGGAGAGCTTTTTATCCCCCAAAGCCTCATCAATCGCATCCTTGATGTCGTTCTTCATCATCTAATCGTCAACCATCGTGGAGTGCTTCCTTTGGACTTTATTATCATCGTTCTTTAAAATATATATTTCAATCATTAAGAGAATGGTTTGCTAATCAAAAGGGCTATGAGATTGCTCTTTTTGTGCTTTACTTGTTTTGGTTGTTTGTATTCAAATTTGTATGTTTGACGGTGTACTCACTACAAGAAATTACATCTTTAACGAAGGGGTTTCCCTTCGTTAAAGATCTGAAAACCTTCGTTATTGTATGCTAACGACGGGAAAAAATCCTTTCGTCACCCGTTGTTGAAGCCCTCTTCGCTAAAATGTCACGAAAGGATATACTACCCGTCGTTATAGAGTCTATAACGATGGAACATATTACCGTCATTAATATTTACGACGGTAATTATTACCGTCGTTACCATCACTGATTCCCGTCGTTACCATCAGTGACGGAATATTTTCCCGTCGTTTCCATTAGTTACGGGGATACTTTCCTGTCGTTACCATTAGTTACGAGGATATTTTTCCATCGTTGAAGACTAATTAATGACGGTTGGATACCGTCGTAAAAAATCATCATAATGGGTAATTAGTAACCCCATCAACGACGGTGATTTCCCTTCGTTGATGAACAAAATACGGTTTATAAAACCGTCATTGTAGACTACAAATTTCTAATATACATTAATAATAAATTTTTCATTCATAGACAACTATCATATTATTCTCAACCTGACACTAAGATTCACAACAAAATTATATTAAAATTACCCAATAATGAATAAGAGGAAAAATAAAAATTTCATTCATTAATAACATCAATAAATAAAATTCCATCATCCTCAAATATTCAATACTAATAACAAGAGTTAATATCCTAATTGTTCCAAAGAAAAATACATGAAACTATCTAAAACAATTTAAAATAAAAGTTTGGAAACGACACAATCTTTCATCTCTAATCATGGTCATCACCAGTACCAGCATCACCAAAGGACTGTAATTTTCTTCATACTGAGTTTCTAAGTTGCCAGTTTCTAGAAAAGTAGATACTGGTATCATGCTATCATACATGCAGGAAGAAAAATATATTCCAAATATATCAATGAAATCAATAAGTATCCCAATTATTCAAAGAGATTTGTAGAGCTGCAGTGATATGTTTGCATCTGAGGACCAAGACCGTGTAGTTATAAAAATAAAATGCAAATTAACCCACTATATTACTTGAATATTAGTAAAAAACTAAATTTTAGTAAAATAAAACATCTCTAAACATGTAAATGAATACTTATACAAATAAAACTGCACTCACAGTGAAATGGCTGAAGAACTCGAATGGTTCAGAATCTTGCATTCATTCTTCTCTTTCTTTTCAACATAACTATGATTGTATCTACTCGATGACAGCTCCAGTAAAGGTGTAGAATCTGGGCTGCAGCTGAACTCCTCATCACACGATACAACTTCTTGAGTATAATAAAGGTTATCATTTTTTGCACTATTTTCCCTTGGCTCATAACTACAGCTTGTTGATTATCTATTGTGCTGATCAAATTGATGAGTTGCTTCTGAGTTGCAGTATCTACGAGCGCACAAGATTACTCTTCTACGATCAATTGATCATTTGCGACGCATGCCCCATTGAGAGGTGCAAATTCTGAAACCAGCATAACAAATGCCACACATTAAATTTTGTAAATAGCAATGGTAATATAAAATATTGACAGGAAATATGAAGAACAGTACCTTCAGCATTTCATCCAAACTTTCATTCATCATTCTGACATATAGTCTCAATTATATTAGAATAATCCTTGCATGTTCTCCGCTGAGGCTCTATGTTACTTTGTTTGCACACGCTCTCTACTTCCACATCTGACTTTGTACAAGAACTCTGCACTACAATATAACTAATCAGAAATTTGACACGAAAGAATAAGCTAATTAGGAGCAGTGTATCAAACATAACAAACTCTTTCCAGTACTTTCTAATCAAAGCTTAGCTTTTACTCAAAGTCATTGTTTCTTCTAACAATATATATTTATGTGGAAAACAAGCTTATGTGTGGAAGCTATTTCCTTGTAAAATAACAAAATTGAGAGAACTTACTTTGGCATCACTCCCTTTCTCACCGTCTTCTTTATTGATATGCATTGGAGGTACTGATCCACCACTAGTTGCTTTGCTTTTCGAGGATTATCTTCAAATGTTTTCATTGCATTATCATCTCGGTGAACACCTTTATTGCCAATGCCATCATTTAACTGGAAAAGTTATAAAAGACGGTGATTAGCAATACCAAAATATAACAAGAGTGATAAGTACTTCATGAGTTTACTTAATAGTTAGGGCTCAATTGCAGATGCATCCCCTGTAGTATAACTATTTTGAACTTGCTGGTACTGTAGTTTCATTGTTTTGTTCCAGATGGTCCATTTTTTCAACTCTTATATCCTCGACGTAAATAATGAGTCCGAGTGTAAAAGAATTGAGAGGATTTAACCTGGTGTGTTTTTTTTGGGGGGGTGGGGGTGGGGGGACTAATATCTGCAACAATACTAGAGGGGGCCTATCACCCGCGGAGACACCCTATAGAGGGTGGTATCAAGTGATACCACCTTATATCAAAAAATAACCTAGTATAAACCAGATTATCACTTATTAATGACACTACACTAGAAGTAAGTAGTAAGTAGTAGTTCATTTGAGAATCACCCCTAATGGTCCAAGCCTTCGATGACCCAATCCCAAGAACCCATTTTAAGAATGTAAAATGAACAATTAAGTAGGTGTAGGTCTATCGCCTGGTGTTTATGAAGCTACAGAGAGAGGTCGTTACAACAGAAATTATAAAGAATCATATGCGAAATTGAATGTGAGATCAATGGATGAACAATGACTCAGCAACTAATATTGAAAAATATGTATGTAGTAGTATTTCGAAAGAGGCTATAATGCAACAATTTCATAATATGATGACACTTGGGGGTGAATTGCAACAATGTAGTTGTACTTTTTGAGAATATATCTCATTAAAGTTAAATATATCTTCTGTATCTTATTATTAAGTTTTCCTATTATGTATTAATATGAGAGAAAATTAGTAATATCGTCTTTTATATATACTGTGACACCACTATTTTGAATTCCTGACACTGTCACTGGGGTCTTAAGTGCAATTATCCCTAAAATAGTTACACATAAGGTTGAAGGTTGAAGGCAACATACAGTTTGTCTCCTCTAAACGTGCTGCCACAAGTTCATCAGCTCATTTTTACGGACAGGCTTCACGAGGAAGTCTGCTGCGCCTTTCAGCATGCAGTTGAAAACTATGTTGACAGAGTCATTGGAGGACATCACTGCATATATGACACACACACACACACACAAAGATGAGATTGCAGAACACCAGCAAGTATATGTTTCTCTTGGAATAATTTCAAGAGACATGGTATCATACTTATCACAGGAATGTGCTTGCAGCCCTCATGATCCATTATCATGGAAAGGAGGCTAGTTCCCGAGATCGACGGGACCTCAACTTCAACGAGAACTACATCGATACTATCAGGCCTTTCCCTTACTATCTCCCATGCTTTTTGACCATCAGATACTGCAACCACTGCAGAAAAAGAAAATGCAGTATAGATAAAATATAGTCAGAAATTAAGTAACACAAATGCACAGACAATTTTACCTAATTAAGATGGAAGGTATGGTGCTGATATATAGTTTTATAGTTGCAAATACTTGGGAAACCATAATCTTAGGGAAACTATTATATATGGGATGCTAAAACATAGATAGGTTGCACATTTACCTTTGAAATGCCAAAATATTTATCTTTGAGATGCCAAAACAACCTTCAACTCATTAGAATCTCTCTTGTCCCTGAACTAAAACCTTTACTTTCTACAATCCAATTTTCAGAAAAAGGATCACATGACAATCTGGGCAACTTTAGGAAGGACTCAGTACTTTCCTCAACTGTACTCACTGAGTCAGTTAATAATTTTTATTTAAAAAAATTCAACTCAAAATTTACTCTTTTTTAGGGGAAGCTAAACTGCGATCTCAGTTGATGTAAAATTTTGATTTTTACAACATGGGTCTCAAGCAAAATCAAATACGATCAAAGGAAATAGAGAAACCGATGATCAAACCTCAGAAGCCCTAACTCTGCGGGTGAACTGGTGAGTCTGAGATAAACCCAGCTCCCTTCTCCATATCTCTGACACCGCAGCTCCCGATGGCCTCAGTGGCCCCTTGGTTTGAGATGAGCCCTGCTTTTGCTCGGCCATCGATGGGATTGAGATTGACGAGGACAGAGAAAAAGACCATTCGAGTAGAGGGAGAGCGCCAGTATCACCCCCAATTATTCGAGGAGAGGGAGAGTGACGCCGTCGAGGAGGACGAATTAGAAGGGGTGGGAGAGGAAGGCGTGGACGAGGAGGAAGCCAGAGAAAATCAGAGGGCGGCGACTCAGGATTTGAGTAATTTCGAAAAGGAGGGTTTTGGAAATTTTGAGCGTGAAGGGGGGAAATTTTAGAAGCTGGGTTTGGAAAATTTAGGAGACTGCTAAAATAAGTAGGGATCGATCTCATCGTAGACGGAACTGACGGAGTTTAATATATATAAATGCGGTTAGAGGGTGATTTGGGTTTCGGGTTATTCATATTAATTTTGATTATTGGTCCTGTTATGATTTGGAGTTATGATTAATGAAGGTAATGGACCCCTTCATTTTTAAGGAGACCCAATAACGACGGTATTAGGATTAAATTAATGAAGGGATTTGAAAACCGTTATCCCATATCATATCCTTATATAATATTTATAATCACTCGACGAAGGCTTTAAAACCCCGTCGTTATTATATGCACATTAACGACAGTCAACTGGTCCCTTTACTAATTTTGGTCGTTAAATACCGTATTTCTTGTAGTGACTCAAGCTAGAGTAATTAAGGATTGGCGTACTCAAGATAGGGTAACTGAGGGTTTGACTAGCTAGGACTAGGTTTCTTCTTATCATTGTGAGGAGTTAGGTTAGTTGACTGGTTTCGGGTAGATTCTAGGGTCTTGTCTGTAAAGCCTACCAAATCGGATTATGATTTGGGAGAACTCCAGTCATAGTGAAGAAGACCTTTCATGAGAAAGAAGAGTGGACGTAAAATTGTGATCCAAACCACTATAGAAATCTCGTGTGTTCATGTGTTGATTTATTTTTAGTTTTTCGCATATTTTTTTCTGCTACATATTCTGAGTTTAATCGAAAATTTATAGCAATCCTATTCATCCCTCAAGAAATGGCGATAGAGTGCAGGAAATCAGCAAAAGATTCAGCTAGGCAGACTGGCGGTCGGCCGCGAGTCAACGGTGGTCGACCCCGAACGTGCACAAAGGCCACTAGGACTCGGAGCTGAAGGTGGTCGACCGTGACGGTCGACCGCGAGGACCCTGTAGGTGATTTTTGGTCTCGGGATGAGATTCGATCGACCACCGCGGTCGATCGCGCCATGACAGTAATAAATTCTGTTCTCGGGTTTTGGTTCGGTCGACCGCCGTGGTCGATCGTGAGACCTATACGGTCAACTGCATACTGATTTTGGGCTGAGCCTTGGTTTTTGAACCGGTTTGTTTCTGAGTTGATATATAATCCTAAACCTGATTAATTAGGATTAAGCAATGATGATTTTGAGCAGTCTTTTGGAGAGGATTTCTGCATCCAATTGTGGGAGATTTGTGAGAGATCTAGAGCTCGATTTTGAGCAGTCTTTTGGAGAGGATTTCTGCATCCAATTGTGGGAGATTTGTGAGAGATCTAGAGCTTTGTTTTAGGGTTTGATCGGTGAGATTTGTAACTCTATTTGTATTCTCTTGATTTCTAATAGTAAGAACTCCCCCTTCCTTGCCCCGTGAATGTAGGCAACTTGCCGAACCACGTTAAACTCGTTGTCTTACTGTGATATTGTGTTTGACTTATTAGTTGTGATTTATCTCTTGGATTGTTCGTGTCATTCTGAGAAGCATCCGCCGCGCACAACAATTGGTATCAGAGCTTCAGACTTGTTCGAAGGATTCGGTGAAGATTCCTATCTGAAGAGTTAGATCGACAACATGGGAGAAGCAAGCACTCGAAGGATTCGGTGAAGATTCCTATCTGAAGAGTTAGATCGACAACATGGGAGAAGCAAGCACATCAGGTTCGTCTCTTACGAAGGTTAGATCGACAACATGGGAGAAGCAAGCACATCAGGTTCGTCTCTTACGAAGGCGATACAGAGTCTGAGTATCAATAACACGAAGATTGTTGTTCCGAAGTTCGATGGCAAGATCAATTTCGGATTGTGGAGGTTTCAGGTGATGGACGCCTTGGATGCACAGAATTTAGCGGAGACTCTTTAAAAGAGAAACCCGCTGATATGGAGGATAAGGTTTGGAGGAAGATGATCAGTAGAGCTTGTGGTGTTATTAGGTCCTGCATGACGTCAGATCTTATTTATGATGTTATGAACGATACGTTGACAAAGAAGATGTGGGAAACACTCAATAAGAAGTATCTTACGAAGAGCATTGAGAATTGGCTTCACTTGAAGAATAGGTTTTACCAGTTCAAGATAAAGAGGGGAGTTTCCATCAGGGAGCATGTCAACAAATTCACTAAGCTACTTTTAGATATGACCAATATAGACATCATAGTTGAGGATGAAGACAAGGCAATGTTACTTTTGTGTTCGTTGCCCGATGATGATTATGATACGTTTATTCTAACTATGATCAATGGAAGAACTACAGTTAGCTATAAGGAGGTGACCTCAGCCTTGGCAAATTATGAGTTGAGGAAGAGTGATGGTGAACCTTCCGAAAAGGTATCGGGAGATGCATTAGCTGTTCGAGGTCGTGATCCAAACCGCCGCCAATTCAACCGCTCAAAGTCAAAGAATAGGAGTGCCTATAAGAGTGTTGGTAGAAATCAATATTGGTATTGTAAAGAAGAAGGACATTGGAAGATTGACTGTCAAAGTGGAAAGAAAAAGCCGGGAAGAACAAAGTGAAAGCTGCACAGGCTTCAGAAGTGAATGTTATAAAAGCTATTGGTGAGCATTCAGATTCAGATTCTTCGGGCTACTCGTGCCCTGCACTACCGTCAGTTTGCTATGCTGATTTCATGGAGTGGGTGATGGATTCGGGAGCTATATATCACATATGTCCTAGGAGGGATTGATTCTCTAGCTTTGAGGAGCTGGAAAGAGGGGATGTCGTGCTTATGGGTAATGATCACGTATGTCCTATTGCTGGAAAGAGGGGATGTCGTGCTTATGGGTAATGATCACGTATGTCCTATTGGTGGTATTGGTTCAGTCTGGATTAGGATGCATGTCGTGCTTATGGGTAATGATCACGTATGTCCTATTGGTGGTATTGGTTCAGTCTGGATTAGGATGCATGACAGAAGAATTAGGGAGTTGAAGGAAGTGAGGTTCGTGCTACAGTTGACGAATAACATCATTTCTCTTGGGACTTTGGAGGCAGCAAGATATTGAGTGATCTTAGAGGATGCTATAGTGAAGGTCACGAAGGGTTCTATGGTGATGATGCGAGGTGTCAGGAAAAACAACCTATACTACTCGAAGGGCAAGATAGTTACAGGGGGTCTGACAGCTTCTATCACTACAGAGGAGGACACTACCACTTTATGGCACATGAGGCTTGGACACACAGGAGATAAATCCCTATAGTCATTGGAAAAACATGGGCTATTGAAAGATGCTAAGACCTGCAAGATGGAGCTGTGTGAGCATTGTGTACTCAGGAAGAAGACTAGAGTGAAGTTTGGCACCACTGTTCACAACACCTGAGGTACATTGGATTACTTTCACATAGATGTTTAGGGCCCTTCTAAGAATACATCTCTTGGTGGGGCCAACTACTTTGTCATTTTCATTGATGACCATTCCAGGAGAAATTGGGTATATCCTATGAAGCATAAACATCAGATCCTGAATATTTTTGTGGAGTGGAAAAAGAAAGTGGAACTACAGACATGTAGAAAGGTGAAGACTCTACGTTCAGATAAAGGTTGAGAGTACAAGAGTGATCCGTTTCTGTAGTTTTGCAGGGATCACGACATTAGAAGAAACTTCACAGTTCGAGAGACACCGTAACAGAACGGGATGGCTAAGAGATTAAACCGTACCTTGCTGGAGAAGGTGCGATGTATGATGACGTAGAGTAGATTGCCTAGATCCTTTTGGGCCGAGGCGTTGATTTATGCGAGCCATCTCGTGAATAGGTTGCTGTGCACTGTGAAAGATGGGAAGACTCCTTTGGAGTGTTGGTTTGGTTCGGTGGCTAGTGACTATGAGTCGCTTCAGATATTTAGGTGTCCAGCTTATTATCATTTTAGTGATGGTAAATTAAATCTGAGGGTGAGGAAAGCAGTCTTTGTGAGATTTAGAGATGGAGTCAAAGGCTTCAAGTTATGGGATCCACAGGACAAGCAGTCTTTGTGAGATTTAGAGATGGAGTCAAAGGCTTCAAGTTATGGGATCCACAGGACAAGAAGATAGTTATTAGCAGAGAGTCAAAGGCTTCAAGTTATGGGATCCACAGGACAAGAAGATAGTTATTAGCAGAGATGTCACATTCGATAAGGCGTACATGATGGGACCTCGAGTCCCTCAGCAAGTGGAGGGAGACTAGACAGTTGAGATATCACAGCAGGTAGAAGATGATGTGACTCCACCCACTCTAGAGAGCATTGTATCCATCGAAGCTCCTACAGAGGTGACACTGGGAGGAGATGAGATGACAGCCGGATTGATAGAGGATATAGTGGATTATGGGACTCAGGAACATGGGTCATGTTCAGGGGTCCATTGTAGCAGATAGACCGAGAAGAGTAATTCGTCGGCCAGCTAGGTATAATGATGTCATGGTCGCATATGTATTATCAGTGAAGGTCATTGATGATATGGTTCCATACACATTCAGGGAGGCAGAGTCTAGCCCCGATTCAATTAGGTGGAGTGAAGCTATAGAGGAGGAGATGCAGTCTCTTCAGAAGAATGACACTTGGACACTTGCACATCTACCTAAGGTAAGAAAGCTATTGGTTGCAGTGGGTATATGCGAAGAAGGAGGGATCTTTTATTAGGGACATTCGATTCAAAGTCAGATTGGTTGCCAAGGAGTATGCACAGCTTGAGAGTATTGATTACAATGAGGTATTTTCACCCGTTGTGAAGCATTCGTCGATATGAATTTTATTGGCATTAGTGGCACAGTTGGATTTGGATTTGGTCCAGATGGATGTAAAGACAGTCTTTCTACACGGTGATTTAGATGAGGAGATCTACATGACAGATTTGGTCCAGATGGATGTAAAGACAGTCTTTCTACACGGTGATTTAGATGAGGAGATCTACATGACAACCCTTGGGATTCAAAGCTGCAGGAAAGGAATATTTGGTTTGCAAGCTGAAGAAGTCTCTTTAAGGTTTGAAGCAATCACCGAGACAGTGGTATAAGAGATTCGACAGCTTTATGATTGGCCATGGGTACACGAGGAGCTCATATGACCC